GTTAGTACTGGATCCTAATACCGATTGATCCTGTTAAATCAGTTATCTCTGTCTCCCCCAGTTGTCCGGATTAATTGAGAGTTCAAACCCGTTGTTTGTTGTGGTCATTTGTCAATAGACAAATCTCCTGCAGGAGATTTGTCGTTTGACCATGTCATATCGAATTTAAAATGTTATTTCCATTAGCCATGTGACAGCATATATGCTGTAATCATATTTTGCTGTGGTGCCCTGTAGTGTACAGCATTTGGTCCATGGTCTATGGATTGTTGGGTCTGAGTTGGGTCATGGCTGGTAGTGTGAGAAATGAGCTGTGGGCTTGGGAGGGAGTGTGTAAAAAGAATAGATTTTTACGTTTAATTCCACTTTCTATTTTTTGGGTGGTTTGGAGTGAAAGAAATGCGAGAGCGTTTGAGGGAATTGAGAAAGATTTTGTTAGCATTAGAGATACTTGACTCTATACTTTTGGTTATATGATGTTGGGTCATGAGGTTAAGGGTTTGGATGACTTTGGGACTGTGCTTGACTATTTGATTGACATGTATTTATTTTGTATACGGGTAGTACTCCCTTGTTACTATGTTAATATATACTTCCTAATTTTTATTTCAAAAAAAAAAAAGCCATGTGACAGCATATGCATTTATAGTTACACGCTACTATAATAAATGGTCATTTCCCTCTCTCAGGTAACTGCAATAAACACAGCCATGGCTGCTCTAACAAAAACTGTGGGTGTTTTTCCCAAGGAACGTGCCATTGTGGACAGAGAACGTGCTAAGGGGTCGTATGCACTAGGACCTTATTTGCTTTCTAAATTAATAGCTGAAATTCCTGTTGGAGCAGCATTTCCCCTGATGTTTGGTGCTGTGCTGTACCCCATGGCTCGTCTTCATCCTACTTTGTCTCGGTATACTTCCTTTCCTTAACTTTCTATGGTAATATGGTACATGATCTCTGAGGGGGAAAAGAGTCAGGCAATTGTTGAAGTACAGACTATAGCTGATAGGTTCTCAAAAGAAGCAGTCACTTCCTTTAGAGGATTATGTCCACATGTAGGTGTTTCTGGTAGTAATCCAGAGGTTAAAGGGTGAATGTTTATTGCTTTCTATATCTTGTATCCAAGTGGATCAAGCCCAAAAGCAAAGACGTCTAGGGAATCGGCACTTTTGTCTTCCGCACGCGAGGACAAACGAGTTTTTAAGGAGCAAAGTTCTATTCTGTTCCATAATGAAATCAAACAGTAGCTGAGAATATTTCATTCGGATATTCACACATCAGCAGGCTATCAAGTACTTGCCATGTATGAATATCCAAATGAAAATGCTTTGAGTTACTGTTTCCTTTCCTTCTAGACCATAAAAATAGGAGTTGTAGTTTCCCCATGATTTTTCCTCATGGATTTGGAAATCCTTTAACATGACACGTGAATATCATTTCAAACTACTAAAATTCAATATTAGGGTCTCCTTGCAGAATATTCAATTTCTGATGGATAAATGAAGGGTGCTGAATATAAATGTGGTTTTCATACCCCCTTGGGCCAAGCTCATGGATTATCTTAAGCTCACATCATCAGTGGGAAAGATGTATTATCAGACTAAGAATCTATAACTTCCCAATAAGAATTTATTTAAAGCTAAACTTATAATATGCTGAAACATAGAAAACCTATTATGTTTGTGTTTTTGTAGAGCCTGCCTTGTAGATTAGAGCTAAATCAAGCTGCACACACTAAGTACTCTCTGAATATCAGGGCGGCTTAGGCTCCTCATCTGTTCCCAAGAGGTTCTTTATTCTGAAGCGTAGCTTACATAACCAAATGATGGTTTACTAGTGTTTATTTACCCTTACATAACCAAATGATGGTTTACCAGTGTTTATTTACCTGGTCTGGAATTAACAATTGCCAGCTCTGACAGGTGACTGGTTTTTGTTTCTGTGCCATGATATGCTGTTTGATTTTATAAAAACTCGTTGAATGGCTAGAAGTGACTTGTGTTATAATCACTAAATAGTGCTGATTTTAGGACTCTGCTTTTCTAGGTTTGGAAAGTTCTGTGGAATAGTGACTGCAGAATCTTTTGCTGCATCTGCAATGGGTCTAACTGTAGGGGCTATGGTCCCAACTACGGAAGCAGCAATGGCGTTGGGACCCTCTCTTATGACAGTTTTTATTGTTTTTGGAGGATACTATGTGAATGCAGACAATACACCCATCATCTTCCGTTGGATTCCGCGTGTTTCTCTTATTAGATGGTAATAAATTCTTTCTTATCAATGTGAAATATCATGGTTATGCATTCCTTAGCTGCTGTTGGGAGATTGTTTATTTAGTCTCACGTTTATTTATGGAACGTACTTTCAGGGCCTTCCAAGGACTCAGTATCAATGAATTTAGTGGTCTTCAATTTGATCATCAACATTCTTTTGATATTCAAACTGGAGAACAGGTAACAGTAGAGTCTACTACGGGTAACAGTAGAGTCTACTGTAGAATTATGTTTTATTTGGTGGAGAGAAAACTTAGTAAAAGTCATGGGTAAATGGTTTTAAAGCATCTATAATGCAGGTAACTTGTTCCTGCTCAATCAACTAAAAAATAGAGAGCTTTTATTCTGCAAAGAATGCCCAGGAACTAACCACCAAAATGGGAAAGTTTGAATTGCTGGGAAGTCATTGTGGCTAAAGTTCAAGAACTGAAATTTTACATGATAATATGATTTACTGAAAACAAATGAAAAATCTTTCTGGGGAATAATAGGCCTGTGCAATTTATACTTATTTCCTGATTATATGGTGAACGCCGCACAGATGCACTGTATCTTTATTTTTAACTGAGATGAGGATTTAGATTTCTTTGCTGAATATATGGTCACCATGGCTTTAGTGCTTGTTTGTTTGTGGATCGATCCGACTCATTTATTGTGTCTTTAGTTTAATTTTTCTAGATCTAGAATTGGGGCTTACAACTTTTTGGACTTGTAATAAATAAAGTAGTGCCAAAATAACAGTTAATTCACTTGCTTGGCTCATAAAGATAATTCAAGGATTGAGTCATTGAATTGTTACTCGTGCCAGCAAATTACACAGTACATGCTTCACTGATGCCCACTTCAGTTTGTTGAATATCCAAATTAGACATTTATCTAGCAGGAAGCTGTGGAATGGCTGATATAGATGTTCTACATGTGCTGATGTTTCTTTTAGTTTTAATCTTCTCGTTTTATTTACTAATCTGATGTAATCTTTGCAAAACTCCCAAACTGCCTTTGGAATTTTTCAGGCACTCGAGCGACTCTCCTTTGGGGGAAGCCGAATTCGCGATACAGTGGCTGCACAGAGTAGAATTTTGCTCTTTTGGTACTGCACCACTTACCTTCTCCTTGAGAAGAACAAGCCAAAATATCAGAAGCTTGAGCCGCCTCCTTTTGAACACGTCAAACCACAGCCACAACTTGAGCCTCTGGAAAATGACCAGCCACCTCTAATTGAACAAGCCAAACCAAACCAGCCCCTTGAGTCAACAGAAATTGACCCAATCGGACCTTTTATTCTAGAAGGTTTGTAACAATTCAGGTACAATAATAATGTTGTTATAAGATATACCATTATTCATTGCATTTAATCTCGTACAGGTGCCAAGTAAAGGAGGTCTTGTTTGCAAATAAAGGAGGGCCCCAATACCATTTTTGAGCTGGTCTTGTGATATATACTACTGGAAGCTCTGTTACCTAAAAATAAAAGTTGTGAAATCCTTATCCGATGCTTATAATTTCCTCCAAAAGAGAGAAACCCCTTTTAGCTTGGATGGTTGAAGATAAACCTGATATCTGGTCAAATGACATTATACATTAATGGGTTGTAATCTCTGAATATCCAAACTAATTGGTTCATGTCTACGTGCCACTCTTTAATAAAATAAAGGGTTGAAAAAAAAAACCTCTTTAGGTCAACGGGATATATATATATATATATATAGATATTACTTCAAAAGAATGGGATGCAGTTTGCTGCATAATTTGCTATATATAACTATATCTGGTCAAACAAGAAATTTTAATTTGTGCCGTTGAGAAAAAGGATGCCTACTCTGCACTTTGATTTAGATTGGAATTTTGTATTTTGAAGTAAAATTATCAAAATTAATTTGGTAACCTTCGTTTGATTTTAAATTGATTTGTGATATTTATTAATTATTATTTAATTAAATAGTCGATATATTATAGAATAATTTTTATTTTACTTTAATTATTGCATATATATTATTAAAAAAAAAAAAAAATTGATTGCATAATACCCTCTTAGGCTTACTGTTCCATCCTCCAACCAGTTCATGACGGAAGCCTAATGTCAACTTCCATCCCACACCTCCTTCACAACTATTTATATATATATATATATAAGTAGAAAGTATCTGGACATTGAACTTCGCCGCAAACAGCTATTCCCATAAAATTTTAAATAAAGAAAAAACTTTCCAGACATTGACTAATCTACAACTTCTTTTTTAACTTTTAGTTTCTTCTTTTCTTAAATAAAAAATTTGCCCTTCCCTTCCAGAATGCGTCTTCTCATGTGGGAGCTTAACAAGTTATTACTTGGGGTTTCTAGAAAAACTCCAAGTACCTCTCAGACCCATTCTTGAAAACTTCTCGAAGTTTATTAAATTCAATATTTGGATCCCAACTTTTCCACAGACAAATTAGAAGATTACAAACCCCCTTTCCTCTCCAGATCAGAAACAGATTTCTCCCCATGTCAGCTACAGTTAAATTTCTTCTTCCTCCTTCACTTATAAATCTGAATTGGACGCAACAAACTCCTATTTTAATATCATTGTTAAAAATTTTCTATGGAACAAAAAGACATAATTGCATATGCCATTTACGTTACGTGACGTGACAGCTTGTTCCTTAAATCTAAAACCCCACTAGCTGGAGATAAAATGAAACGCGCAAACTAAAACACAAAGAAACTGTCCGTTAATGACACGGTTTGGCCACATTCCCTTTTTTCCTTGGATCAATTATTTAATAAGTAAATCCCACGACACCCACCACCACAATTTCCTCTAATCTTTTTAATTATTACATTAATCAATTCTAAGCCTATAAATATTTTTAATTAATCACGTATCATCATTCGACAATCATTCAAATCTTCTTCTCATTCGTATTTTCATCATAAAACCCACATCACCAGATGCAATCCGCTTCTCTTCCCATCTCTCCCTTCACTCCCCGACTCGGTCGACCTCTCAGGAAAAGGGTGTCGACGGGGAGAGTTTTCGCTTCCCACAGAGAAGGCTGGAGCGTTGACGAAAACATGATCGTTCTCCGGAAGAGAATTCACGAGATGAAGATGGTGGAGAGGAATTACGAGCCGCCGGCCAATTGGATGGAGTGGGAGAAACGTTTCTACACGAGCTACGACTCGTTTATATACCAACTCGTAGGTGCGCTGCAGTCTCGTTTGATGAATACTAGGCCGAGCTTGGCGTTGGGGATGATAGCTTTGGTTGTGATAAGTGTGCCGGTGAGTTCGGGTATGGTGTTTATCCAGTTGTTGGAGATGGTGAAGATGGGCTTAGGTGCAGGAAGTATTCATTTGTCATGATGATGATCAAGAAAATTATTTTCGCTTACTGTGAATATTCTAGTTTATTGGGTAGGCGTGTGTATCTTGATATTCTTAAGAACAATTTTCATGGAGACAATGAATATTATGAGATTTTCTTATAAAAATATTTATTTTTCTTTTTCGTTTCAAGTTGCACGTTACTCATTTTCTTCTTTAATTAATTATTAGATAAAATTTAACAAATTAAAACTACTAAATTAATATAATATTACAGTTTATTTTTTATATTTTTATATAATATATTTAATTTTAATTTTAATTTTATAATTTATTTTATTAAATACAAATATAATTATTCATAAACAATTTAAATTTTTTTATTATATATTTCTTACATACTATTTATTATAATAAAATAAACAAATAATCACAAATTAAAAACTAGTACATTATTTAAATTATATAATATTTTAAAAAAATTATATTTATTTCTGACTTTTAATAAAAACAAACAAATATCTTAGAATTTATAATTTTTTTTAATTTTTATATTTTTTTATAATATATTTAATTTTATTTTTATTCTCATTATTTATTATTTATTTTATTAAATATAAATATTTAATTAATAATAATTATTTATTTAAATATAAATATAATTATCAGTAAACAATTTAATTTTTTTATTATATACTTCTTATATACTATTTATTATTAAAATAAATAAAAATAAATTAATAATTTACCTAAATATACCAATCATATCATCTGCCATTTAAACAAAAAAAAATATGCTTTAAAACACATTAATATACAACCATACAAATATAAAAAATTTTAACAATTACTTAAATTTTTCATTGATTATCCCGACCCGACCCGACCCGACCCTAAATATTCATTCATCCATTACATGATGCATGCATAGATTATCAATCAAAGCCTGAAAGTATTAACCTCCGCAATGCCGCACCATGCACCTTCACGATCACGTCAACCGACTGAGAAAGGATTTAATAAAATTAACTTTCTGGCATGACCGTGGAGACCTATAAAAACACAAGAAAAGAAATTAATAAGCCTAGGAAATTTATTTATATATGAGAAAATTATGTATGTATATATGTATATCAAAGTGAGAAAATGAAGTAAGGAGGGAGCTCCCTTCAGTCCAAGACGCGACGGCAATATAGCTGTACATAGCTCCTGCATCGTTGCATCAAAAACTCATCAATATATTCAACCATGTCATGTACTTGAAGCCCTTCATCATCTTCTTCGATGCTGATGAGTTCTTGAATCAACGAGTCAGCAGCCGTGTCCTCAGCTCTCCGCCGCCTCGGACTGGACTGAAGAGAGCTCCTTCTTCAACACCTCTCTCACTCTCTCTATCTCTGTTACACACACACACACAAGATGAACGCAATATATACATATATATATATACACACACGATATGTGTTTCACATCTTATATGGGTATTCCCCATATATGTATATATATATATATATTGCAGAAGGAAAGAAGTATAGTTTACTAGTCATGCACGTGCAAAGGTTTAAAAAAAAAAATACAAAGGACACTTCTCCTACATGAACAAAACAAGAAGAGGACAGGAAGAAGAAGATGGAACTAGGACATTGGCGTAGTACAAGAAAAAAAATCCTCAAGCGTACTCATTGAGAACTAGACTGATGAAAAGAAAAGTCACTGCACGCATTTGTCTATTACGTTCATGTGACATCAATGAGCTGTAAGTAAGTAAAGTAGCTGGGGAAGCATATTAGGGCAAAAAAAGGGTTAGTACGAGGAAGAAAGGAGAAGAAAGCTAGGGTTTATAAATAGAGAAAGAAAAAGAAAGAAGATTATGAATCATAATGCGCCGACATGAAAATCTAGAGGCAGGCTTTGGTTAAGATTTAGGGACAGGCCCCATTCCCTTCATACTTCTTTTCATTATCATTTGTCGTTTGAATTTATTTTTCTGATCTGCAAATTTTTTCTTTTTGTTTTTTGAACATTTGAAAATTTTTTCGTACAGTACTGAATGTTAAACATCTTATCATACAGCTGGAATCAACAATGAATATCTACCGAGAGGCTCCTGTTCATCAAAGGCTCCTTCACCTTCATTTCCTTTCATAGTTGCATTTCATAAAATTGAAATATTTAAACATGTATTCATATCAAATTAATTATTTTAATTTCTCATCTTCCTGAATATATATATATAATTATACGGAAATCCCAGTTAACTTGCCATCGTAAATGTAGTAATAAATTAATCAAGAATATCAATAAGCATATTCTTTTTAATTCTAACCAATAATATATTTATTTATAATTTTATAAGATATTTCCAAAATAAATTTAAGAATAAATTAAAGAAGCCTTATTAAATTTCTCCTCCATCGATCTAAAGTTTTTCACAGTATTAGCAAGATGTATCGTACTGTAAAGAAGTTGGGAATTGTCAATTTGCATCTGAACCAGGCTAGTTGAGTTTGAACGATCTGGTTTTCTCATGTACTATAAGGCAGTATATACGCATGCCGGTGCAAGATATGTATATATATATATGTATATGAAGGCCTGTGCGTACACATATACGACGATGAGTGGTCTGCAAAAGAAATACATATAGGTATAGGTAAAGAGAAAGGGAGAGATTAGAGAGAATAGGGTTTGCAGGTGAAATGGACGAAGTGATGGATGCTTTTAGTACAGATTTCCAATGGGTTGCAGTTTCAAAACCAAAACTCATGGTTTGAAGACTCAGTGTAAGAGTACTTAGTGTGTGTATATATATATATATATATATGGGACAAGAAGCAGAGAATCCTGATGTTATGTTATGCATGTGTTGTCATGTCAATTCACTTGGCAGGTCAGGCCAGTTACAGTTAGCTATCAGTAGTCGTACTGTAATTTTAATCATATCATATCATCTCATACTTTTCTACATTAATAATATACATTATATTCATCTCTCAACCATTCCATTCCATTCCATTCCCCCAGCCATCATCATTCATGCACGCTAAACCCACATTCTCCCCATCACTCATCATCACTACCCTTAATTATAACTCTATATAAATATATATATATATATATATATTGCTTGATTTTTGGGCTTTGTCAGATGGGTCATGGGTCAAAACCAGTTGGACAACATGATGGGCCTTATGGGCTGACCCGGTTACTATTCTTACAAAATTTGGGCCAACCCAGTGTTCTAATGGGCTTGTACTTTGACTAGACTTGGCCCATTAACGAAGCTTTGTGATGGGTCGGGTAAGCCCATAATCCATCCGCTGTACTTCAACTGTATCTATATGATTCAATTATTGACGTAACTCAGAAACAGCTGGGCCCCACAGCAAACCGAAAAATTATCCCAATGCTGGTTCGCAACAAACTGTCTTGTTCATTCCCCAAAACAAAATAATAAAATTAGCTTTTTTTTTTTTTTTTTAATCATACAATTAATTATAAAAGGCAAAATTATAATTTATAATATATATTTTATAATCATGTTTTATTAAAAATCTTAAAATCACAGAATGGTTTTTAGGAAAAAGGCAAAACCACGTGAATGTGGTACCGAATATAAACTAAAGATCATTTTGCGTCGTTTAAATAAAATTCACTTATTGGCTTAAAGTTCCAGTACTCGGATTGTTTTGACTGGTGAGAAGCTGTTTGGATCCCGAGATTCTCAAGGTATATCGCTAATTTTTTGCTTCGAAAATTATACTTATGAAACGAAACCTTTCTTCCGGATCGATTTATCCTCTTTTTTTCTTTTTCGCTTCTGCTTTTTGTTTGTGAGCTATCTAGGTATCTGTCAATTCTTTGTTTCGTTTCTCTTGGAAATTGATGCTCTATCTTTTGATATCTGTGCAAGTTTTTGAAAACCGTTGTTGATTTTAATTGATTTTGCTGTTATTGTAGTAGGAGGTCAGTCAAACAATTGTTTTATGTTCCTGAATTTGCTCGTGTCGCAATCCGGTTGATGAACTTCCTTGATTTCCTCCATGGCTAATTTAAGTGACATCTGTTTTGAGTTTCTCTGTATTTTTCGTTTGATTTTTGTTTCGTTTGTATTGCAGAAATAACATTGTTGTTAACAGTAGCAGGTGAAAGAGAAATGTCAGTTTATGTGAGGGGACTTCATGAAAATAATGTGGATTCTCGGAGTGAGCATCTGCTGAGTGGTATTGTGCCATTGCTGAAGCTTCTATGCCTCACAGTTATAGGGTTGGTTCTTGCACACCCCAAAAGTGGGATGACCTCAAAAGCAACGTAT